GATATTCTGATATTGTAGGATATCTGGAGAAGTAGGAGCTTTTCAATTATCCATGAGCAGTGCTAATGACCTTCCGAAATGCTTTGGAAAGACTCTCGAACCGTGCCGAGCACCATGAAATGCATAAACTTTACCTTTTCTTCAAAAGGCGAGTACGAAACATTCCATAAATTTAGCTACTGGGTGTGTTTGTAACAAACATTCAATTTCACAGGCAGGTTGTTTGTTTCTGATAATGTAGTATTCATTTTCACAGGGTGACCTTATAATTATGAAACGGTGCAAAAACCGAAAAATAATTATAAAAAGTTAAAAGAAAAGCTGCTCCCGCCAAAATTGCGATACAGGGTTTTCATAGTGAGGAATCATTTGGTGATACTAGAAAAATTACCAGTCTGCTGCTGGTTCCGGAAATGCAAAATTTTAGGGTGACCTTATAATTATGAAACGCACTGTATACGCTCAGACGATGTTTCTGATCCCAAATCTTCGAGCAAAAGTTTTGGCTCGAAGAACATCCGCTCAGTGGCGCCTAAGATTTCGCAATATGCGTGCTGAATCGCTCTCTCGAATGAATGGTCTCCCATCTAAGAGATTGTTTAAGCTGAGAAACAAAGGCAGAAGAGGAAGCGGCATTCCAAGTTGCCAACCTAATAGTTCAGAGATGGTCATGATGAGCCGATAAAAGTTTTAATGGCCTTTTCGCGCATTAAAATCCTGCCTGGGGGCGAGTTTCGTCACTACTGACGTCATTAGTGCAAGCGCTCTGCTCAGCGCCTTCGCTAATGCCGAAGAGTCGACGGCAAGAGAGCCAGTCGATGGGCGGGCAGTGTCGCGAGCGGTACGGTCACGCCGCTGAGGGCATGCAAAGCGCGCAACGGGGCCCACCTGCCTTTTGACTAGGTATGCTCCCTTTCTTCGACTTCCGATATTAACGTAGAAACATCCTTTTATCTGCTCACGCCAAGCTCATGACCACGCGCAAGGCAGCCTACACATTTCTATTCGACTCGTCTCCCTGCAGTAAATTTGAACCTCTAAGGCAAGTGATGCGATAAATTGGTCTCCAGCTGGGAATGAGAACAGAGCTGTTCAAAGGTGTAGTCTAGTGAAAACTAGTCATAAGAGAAACGGCCTAAATCTCCCAAAGTGGGACACTTCCCTCTCCCATGGGTTTCCGACGAGGGAAGAAGAGTCCTGTTATTTCTTCTGAACAGTCACACTGGTACGACGTCATCAACGTTACGCTCTGCTCTGCCTTTCCACTGGAACGCCTAGAATCCGACGACAAAAGGCCAACAGCGAGGGTAGCCAATCATCGAGCACTCAGAGGGACGAGAATGTACAAAACGATGGATAAAGCCTTGTTCTGTCGCTGAGGCGCTTCCTTCGCCGCGAACGCCTAACGCCACGTATCAGCCCGTACACACACTGCGACGTATAATCATACTTTCCACTTACAAATTTCCCAAGAACTTTCATCGGAAGATGTTTTCGAGAAAGGTTCTGAGAAGGAATTATGATAGATGTAAACGTTCTAAATATCAACAAGTAAGTACTGTGGTATAAGTATGTGCTTTCAAAAAAATGAAAATAAAAAATTGTTGTTTTCTTAGATGACCTTTTGTGTTGATATTAGAACTGCGTTCATATGTATCATAATTCCTTTTCAGAGCCTTTTGCGAAAACATCATTTAGATGGAAGTATCCTGGAAATTGTGGTATAGTGGCCAAGTATGATTTACACGCTCGCAGTGTATTTCCCACGTTCCAGTTATACTAGGTGCGCAACTTCATCAAAATGCAATTTATCGATCCTTCAATGGAATGTTCTCAATCAGAAAACAATGTGTCGGGTAACCAAAGCAATACAAATGCGCTTTTCTCAAAAAAAATAAAAAAAAATAAAAAAAAAATTCCTTATCGACTTCTTTTGGCAGACCGGCCAAGCTTTTATGATGCGGTTTCGCTTTCGTATTTATTCATTCAAACCTTGAGAAATTCCTTGAGTGTTTCCAGCTTACACGGATTCGGGCATTGCGGTATATCCATACGGACCAACTCGTCGTTAAGCGATGGTGACAGCCATATCTAAAAGAGTAATACACTGATGTGCAAAACTTAAGGACGAACGTAGTTTTACCAAGCCGTGTTACTGGCGAGTAACATAGCGCTGTGGAACCTAACCACACATGGAAAGAGCTGCTACAGCGCAGTACAGAAAGCAATCAACAGGAACCTTTGAACGGCCCACAAGCTATCAGAAGTTGTATACTTCATCTATCTCGTCCTTAAGTTTTGCACACCAGTGTATATTCACTGCTACCGAAACCACGAACTAGTGAGCCTTTTCAGTGCTACAACATGGTTGTGAAATAATGAATGAGCATAGGTCAGCAGGTAAGGCCGATGTCATAGTTTGCGAATCGAGCGATTCGCTAGCGAATCGCTGGATCAGAGCGTTGCGCCAGCGAACAGACCCTTTTTGAAAGTGGCGGGCTTCCTTTGAACGTTGGGTCCCGCCACTATTGAGTCGCTGGTACATAGTTCGACTCGCTGGTGCAACGTTCGATTCGCTGGCGCAACGCTCGGATCCAGCGATTCGCTAGCGAATCGCTCGATTCGCAAACTATGACATCGGCCTAAGAGATTTTCTTACTATGGGTAGCGAAACTCTGAAGAATTCTGAAAATTCGCAGGCTTTGAAGAGTACACCTCCCAAATCCCACACCCGCGAGCAGATCGCTGGACATGAAGGGGAACTCGTAGGCGACCTATAGAGACGTGCTCGGGCCTTTGTTTTGAAACAGTAGCCGACCCCGATGTGGGCTGCGTAACGCTGCTGCCGCTACATTCTAACCTCCTGTAGGTGTTCAATGATCCAGGCGACTCAAAGGCTTCACGCATTTCAAGCGCGAAGACAGAGAGCTAAATTCTTATACAATTGAGTGAAGAGTATATAAGTCGCAGAACCTCCACAACATTTGTTCCATTTATAGTATGGAGCTCAACGGCCAATAGTGCTGCATACGGGACCATTTCATTGGCTATTCGAGTGATGTTGAGTTGCCGACCGAGGGCCATGAAGTTGGAGTCATGCTGGAATATATTTATGACCGCAATCACTGTGCAAGTGAACTGAGTGACTTACTCCTGATATAAATACGGCCTTGTTCTTTGAAATTTGAGGCCTGCTGAGGTGGTCCTCGATGAAGGAGAGGAGCATTTCGGAATGATATCCTAGAACAATGACTTGCATACTACTGGAACTCAAGAACGGCACTTATTTGTCCGGTGTAAAATGGGGCAAACTCATATATGTGTTGGGAGAAAGCAAAAGTAAAGAAAAGCCGATTTCTGGTTCGTCTGATGCGTGAACCACTAGGTCAGGACGTGACGACACCCAATTTGCCGCTCACCGCGCGCGCAAACACTTATTTTTATCCATTTACGAATTTAATTATTTTGTTATTTATTTATTTGATACACGCATAGATCCGCTATGTCAGGTGAAATAGAATACAGCATATGAAACGCTAAACTAATCGACCTCCACGCGAATGGAAAAGAGAAAATGTTCTTCCTTCAAATTAATCCGACTCCCATTTGTTCAATCATGATCGGTCTCGTATGGCTGCATCTAATCGGATGACGCCGAAGATAACGCAGCTCCAAGGCACCACGCATGCGCATGGAATCGAAACTAAATCTTCAAATGTTAGATACCCCCACCTCATGAAATTCAATTCTGTACACGTATGCGAATTTAATTCACTTCAGGAGCCCTTCAAAGTCGTGTGAATCTCAAAATTTCGAAAAATATACGATGCAACTCCAAGGAGATCCTACAAGTTCGTTCCCAAACATCAAAGCTTTTATGAATCAGAATAGCATAGAGGATTTGATGAAATTAATCTGTGGAAACAACTAAAAACGAAACAAAGAAAGAAAGAACTGTCCACGTCCTCAATTGGTCAATTTGAGCAATAGAGGGAAAATCGCTAACCGTTTTCAACCGTGACCCTTTATGACATTCTATCCACGGATGTTCCGCGCGCGGCACCCTGCGACAGACGCGTCCTGACCCAGCAGTACACATGCGACTATTGCGACATGAACTTATGAATTCCACAATTTCTAGAGTTCCTACGTCCAGCTGTTTCACTCTGTGCGTCGATCATCCTTTGATGAAAAACGGTTCGAAGCCATGTGACATTGTTCCGAATCGGTGCTGCCCAGCCTGGGTAGGGAAGGCGTGGATCATTCATAGTCAACTGAAAAAAAAACAGAGCAGTATTCGCCAAAAAAGCCTACTACAATTTTTACGGTGTTCCTGCAGTGTGGTACTAGGCCGTCTCACAAAAGATGTAAAAAAAACTGTTGTACTGAAAGGTGTTAAGAGAGTCGCTGCCGTGCGTAACTCAACCGCCGCGGCGCCGACGCCGTCTCTTGCGTGTTGGTGAGTCACGCGGCGTGCGCGAAGAAAGGCGCATGATGACGAACCAGTACTCGAGCCAGCGATACTCTGAACACTTTAACGTAACGGATCTTGGGCTCATCATATCTCTCAGCTGTATATAATACTCAGTAGAATCAGGAAGAGGACTCGGACTTGGTTTAACCCCATTTCGGATTATTCTTATTATTATCATTTTTGGTTAAAGACAAAGCAGACGCCGAAACCAAAGACTGTGCACACATAACGGCTGTCCACAATGGGTCAATCAACTCAACTTGACAGTCTAACTTTAAGAGTTTGCGCATGAGAACCTGGATTTCCTCCGAGTTTTCAAAAATTCGTATTCCTAGTGCGAGAGTCGTCCTGTACATAAAACAGGATTTCGCTGGAAGCACAATTGATTGAACAACTTGGCGTACTGCAAGAAACAAAAGGCACTATTTGAACAAAATCACAGTGGCGCTGGCCGCTGCTTGCGCTTACTCCAACCCTCCGCAGCTGTGACGTCATTTTGACGTCACCAGCACGCGCTCGCGTCGCGCCGCCGGTGAACTTTTCTCTCCCCCAGAGAGTACGCTGCCGTGCGCCAATTTAGACAGCGTTGACTGACGGCCTGACGCGGCATCGCGTCCCAAGAAATTTGGCAGCCGCATGGACATCTTGGCCCGCATGCGTGTCGAAAGTTGCCATTTAATTTTTAGTGCTGGCCGCTCCTCGTCTCTCGAGAGTTTTTTGCATTCATTATATAGATAACTGCATTAGCATTACACTATAACCACCACATGGCAGCCAGAGCGGTGAAATATCCCTTGATTTAGCAAAGATTTTTGAACGCACAAAACTTTCATTTCAATTCTTTCCTAGTATTCCTTTCACTGTCCCAAACATTCACATGAAGATTATAGAAGCAGTTACTACAAAACTCTGTAAGTTTCAAAGATATTTGTATTTGATGGAAGAACTTAGTATGAACGCTTTTAAGTTCGTTCGTAGCGGAAGTGATGCTTTTACGCCGCCGTGGTCATTATGCGTTGCTTTAAAAAAAACAAACATTTGTTAAACAGAATCTAAGTGTCTTAAACAAAATCTAGGTGGCTATTTATTTAGTTACCGACTTTCTGCTTTCAATCCTGCCATAAATCATTCTATGAAATCCGATGTCGTCAACGTGTTAAACGGCACGTCCAATCAATCACCAGAACACCTTCATGGCCAATTTGGCATTCTGTGCTAGTTCACGAACCCTTTCCTGTGACAGTTGTTATGAAAACTGACTAATCACCTTTGTCACCAGCGAATCGATGACATTATTGAAGTCTGCTGGTGTCGTGATATTCACTGCAGTATTGTTTTCAAGAAATTCTATAATTTCGGATCGAACGGCGCAAGAACTTCCTTGTACTGAGGTGATTCGAAGAACGACTTCTCATATTCGCTACAGGTATCGTCGATACCGGTGGACACCTACAATTAATGGTCAAAAACTTCAATTCCGAATATCTAACCGTGCAATCGAGCATGCAAACAATGCAAAGAAATTGAAATGGCATACCCAATCTATGGTGGGATCAGTGTGGACAGCAACTGGTTGCCAGTTCAGTTCTGAAGTCCATTTGTGGTCTTTATCTGGCTTATAGACAGCTGCAAGCACTGCTTGCGCCGAAGTCACTGTTCTATTTGTCATTTCGTCCCACGGTGAACTGAAGTAAACAGTTGCCGCCATCCAGCGCCCAGTCATTCGTTTCAGTCACAAACGTTGAAGCTAAGAGCACTACGCTCATCGGAGTAATCCTTGATCCCGCCTCTAGAGCTGCTACGTTTATCCATTTCCGGAAAATTTCCAGAAATGTCCAAGACTTGACGGAAATGGTAAACCCCAGCAGAAGTCGTGTCGAAGAACCAATCCAGTGGTTGGGATAGAGTAGCCCAAGAATACTATAAAGGCGCCGTTGCCACGGCTCGAAACCGCGCGACAGGGGCTAGGGCTATGCAAAGGAAACTTGTGGGGGCTAATCTTATATGGACGAGATACTCGTGCACATCCAGTGATGCGCAGCGTGAATAATGGCGTAGCGACTATTCAAAGAGCGTGTAAGTGGAGCCGT